AGTTATAAGATGAATATACTACGTTGTATAATTGAAACTTGATAAGACACTAGAACTTGGTGTTCTCACACACACAAGAAAGGTAAACATGATCATTCACTCAGTGGTGGGACTCGTTCCCCGAGTGCATGTCAAATAATTACACTGTGCACTTTAAGGATGTTATAATTTTGTCAACTAACCTCAATAATGCTAAAAATGAATAAATAAAGTTGTGAACCAATGGTGGGGTGGGGTTCTCCCTCCCCTCCCAGACCTGGATGAAGGGAGCTTGAACCCCCAATTCTACGAAGGCTGCATTGGTGTGACGTCATCTCCGTTAATCCCCACGGCCCCCACAGTTGCGGCCAGGGGTAGTGTTAGGCCAGGTTGTTTGTCCTTGCCCGGGAGATTCTAAAAGAACAGCGCACGGAAACATTCTCAGTGAACAGATGGGCAATCACACTGGTCACTGGTAAACGTTTTCACTTCCTCAGGACATTTTCCCACTGACCACCTTTGCACGTCTCATCCAAGTGCCCCTGAAGTCCATCAGCCTGCGGAGATGACACAGTACATGTCGGGTCCTCAGCGGCAGAGGGCTCAAGAGGTCTGCAGTGGATAGGGCCTTTCGGGAATGTCGTTGAACCTGTCCTTGTCGGTGCTGAACCAAAGACCCCGCAGCTGAGGGGGCGGGGCATATCCAGGGGCTCGGCGTTGTCCTCCTGAGGGAGAAAAAGGAATGAAGCTCGTCTTTAATTTTGGTTCCATCCGTGGGTTGTCCAAACTTTTTGATGGCCCAAATGTCAGTCTTATTTCATTCCATAGCTTAAAAGGGTGACATAAACTCCCCGACTTCACACTTTGCCCCTTGGGAATCCAAACTATCAAAATCACAACGGAACTTTCGGATGGTCCTTCACACGTGTTCACACATGTTCATCTTTTGTCGAGCGGATGATGAGGACGTTGACATATGACACCATGGTTGTGTTTGGGAGGAAGAAACTTTCCTGCACCCTTCCAGGTTCTTCCAGATGTTGTAAGAATGAAATCCAGCCCTGGCTGGTGTAGCTCAGTGGACTGAGCACGGGCTGCGAACCAAAGCGTCGCAGGTTCGATTCCCAGTCAGGGTTCATGCCTGGGTTGCAGGCCATGACCCCCAGCAACCACACATTGATGTTTCTCTCTCTCTCTCTTTCTCCCTCCCCTCTCTAAAAATAAATAAATAAAATCTTTAAAAAAAAAAGAATGAAATCCACATGAGACAGATTATCGAGAGGAAATCATCAAATTTAATTGCACACGTACACACAGGAACCTCATATACATGAGAGAGTCTGAGGCCCCACCAACATGCGAGGCTCCCAGACAGAAAGAGGAAAGGAGGAGCAGATGACTTCCTGAGCCCAGAGTGAGGTCGGGCACCTTGAGACGTCAGACAGTCGCTACGGGGTGGTAAGCAGACCGGGTATTCCGAGATTAGATGTTTGCCCAGCCCTATAGAGGCAGCTCATAAAAAGTTATTTGTGATAATAACCCTTATTATGATCAGCACCCCAAATTTAAATTCTTTAAGGGAGAAGTAAAACTTTCTAGTGAGTCTGCAGGGCCTCAATTACCTTCAGCTCAAAGTAATGCGCATGCCAAAGTAGCATGCCTTGGGGAGGCCTGTTCTGACCTCCTTTGCTGGGAATCCTAGAAAGCGGTGACTCCACCCACCAAGCTCACAAACATTCAGGCTGGACAGAAACCTAAACTCAGGTTTGGGGGACGCAGAGTGACAGTGGTCCAGACATTTGCAGAAGCAACTTTAAAACAACCTTTAAGACCTGCCATCAATAAGATCAACTTTGGCAAAGACCTCTCTACCCACCCCCTTCCCCAATCCACACAAAAGTCACTCGTTGTCTAATCACAGAACTAGATATTAGGGTAGTGTTCTTGACGCCCCCACAAAAGAGCTCACCTTAGAATTAGTAGTTAGCATCTAATTAATTAGAGGTTGTATAGCTGGGATGAAGGCACTCGCCGCATTTAAATAAACACTCAATCTCTTTTATAAGCATTTTCCCTTAGAGCAAAGATGCATTGCTCTTGGCTAGCTCCAAAAAAAGAGGTGGGATCCTATTTGAACGCTTCCAGCTTCCCACACCTCGCTGGGGAGTTTAGGCCTGTAATGACCGCCTATACACACCCATTAATAATGGCAGCAACTGTTTCTTCCTGAGAGGATTCTGTGCCAATGCCTTACAATGAAAAGACTGAACACAGAAACACACATTGAATTACCCTGTCAATTCCAGTGACACATGTCCTCCAAGTGACCTAATATTCATTGTCTCACAATTCAAGACTGGGACAGGGGTTGGCTTTTCAAGAAGGAGACCGTCATAGGACATGCCCTAGAACTGCGTGAGACCCTACTGAGTGTCTCCTCAGCGCTAAATGATGTCTTTAGCCCTAACGACAAACCTACCGACACGGCATATGAACCTTTTGTTATTTATCAAGCTCAGAAAAATGAAATAACTTGTCCAAGGTCAACTAGCAGGAACCAGAATTCCAATTTTGTCTGCTCCAGAACTATTATTGGTCTGGAGTAGTCTGCTCAGGCTGCCATAATAAAATGCCATAGACTGGGAGGCTTAAAAAAAAACCCAGACATTGATTACCTCTAAACTTTAGAGTCTGCTAAGAAGCCCATGATCAAGGTGCCAGAGCGGTCTGTCTCTGGCGGCAGCCCTCTTCCCGGCTTGCAGACAGCTGAGCTCTCGGTGTGCCTTCTTACAAGGACACCGATTCTATTAGAACAGGGCCCCGCCCTTATGACCTTGCTTAACCTTAGTTACTTCCTTAGGGGCCCCATCTTCAATAAACCCCCCAAGTACACTGGGGGTTAGAGCTTCAATTAAAAAAATGGAGGGTGCATAAACGTTCACCTGTAACATGGTGTTTCTGCCACATCGTGCTGTCTCTCGGTATCGACACATCCATTAGCAAAACTAACATTAAAACTTCAGATATTTTCAGTGGCAACCTCATAAACAGAGACTCATGCCTTCCCTGGCTTAAATATGTTCTGCCATTAAACTTTTCCTTCCTTATTTCTGTAAGAGAAGAGAAACCATCAAGAAGCAAGGATCCAGTGAGCAAGGGAGCCAGGCTTTTCCTTGAAGCGGTCCAAGAACTGTTTTCAAACCTTCACACCTCTATTTTAATCCTGTCTGCTTTAGGCATCATACGTATTTTCTCCTGTGTCACACACCTGCGCGTCTGCGTGGGCTGAGGTCTCCTTCATTGAACAGAAAGTCTTCATTTCAACGTGATCCCTAGAATCGCAGCAGAGATGCTGGGAGAACAAAAGATGACCTGGCCCCTGGCTTCCCCGGGCTTGCAGATGCAGCTTGTCAGCTCCGCCATCAGCGGAGCCTGGGCTAACTCCTCCCCCAACCCCGTGCTAGCCACGCCCAACACACCCGTTCCTCACTCAGAACCAGGAGAATTAGGATATTCCCAAAAGAATGTTGAGCTACATGCTCAACAGACAGGAACCAGAGAGAAATAAGCCCCCTCCCAACTATGAAAGATATAATCTTTTAATATTGTGCCTCCCTAACGGAGCAGAAGTCATTTTCCTCATTGCATTACGCTCGAGGGGGTTCTGGCCCTGGGAGGGACTTTGAAATGTACGGGCTGGGATTTCAGGCAGGGGCCTGCTTCCCTGTCTAAGGCCCCAGGCAGCCCGGATGGCTGGGCCTGAGTGTCATGGACAGCACTCATGGACAGTGTCATGGAGGTTGCCCAGAGGCGGCACTGGCTCCGTCGCTCAGCACTCGGTCACGTGCCGGCACCCACGCACACATGAGATGAGCAAGGTGCCCACTGCCAGGAGGGCCCCTCCGTCTAAGGGGGTGGCAGGTGGGGAAACAGCACGTGAAACAGCAGACAGTCTGTGGGAGCACAGGGTGCCATGGCGGGGGGCAAGGGGGAGCGGCCCAGGGGGCTCGAGGCGCCTTCAGAGAAAAGGGGACTCCAGCTGAGTCTTGAACACAGAAGAAAGGTTAAGACTGCAGCCTTGGAAGAGCCTGACAAGGGGCCAGGGTCAGCTCCCAGCACCCCCTGGCTGTGCGGCTTTAGGAGTGAGGTGACTGACAGGGACAGATGTGAGACCTGGGAGAGAGGGACGGGAGGCGGCCAGGGCTTGCGTCAGGGCTGGCGCCTGGCTCTCGTGCAGGACAAGTGTTTGCGGCGGGAGAGGGTTGCGGTTGAGGGCAGGGGTCCACTGAACATGAAGTGTCTGGACCTCAGGAGAGAGGGACTTGCTCAGCCTCAGGCTCGGGAGGGAAGGGGAGGGGCCCGGCCGAGAAAAGCCAGCGTCGGGCACGTCCAGCACTTTGCAGGGACATCTCAGGCCCCTTCCAATGGAGGTGAAGCGCCTGCTGCTCCTCACAGCGCCTTTTCTTCTTTTTATTGCGGCCAAACATACAAAACCCAAACTGCTACCACATTAACCGTTGTTTGGTGAACAGGCCAGTGCTGGCATTAAGCACATTCAGATTACTGTACAGCCACCCCACCATCCATCTCCAGAACTTTCTCAGCCTCCCACATGGAAACTCTCCACCTTGACTGTGTCCTCTGAAATACAAAACTTTCTATTTTCATGGCACCTAATGTATCCATGTTCCCTTTGGTTGTCTGTGCTTTGGGTGTCATGTCTACGAAGGTTTTGCTAAACCCAGGATCATAAAGACTTACCCCCATGTTTTCTTCTAAGAGTTCTTAGAGTCTTAGCTCTTATATTTAGGTCCTTGATCAAGTTTGGTGGATGGCATGAGTAGGACTCCAACTTCCTCCTTTCATCTGTGAATGCTCAGTTGTCCCAGCACCGTTTCATCTAGGCATCCTGTGTTGTTTTTTTTTTAAGATTTTATTTATTTTTTTAGAGAGGGAAGGGAGGGAGACAGACAGAGAGAGAGAGAGAGAAACATCAGTGTGCGGTTGCTGGGGGTCATGGCCTGCAACCCAGGCACGTGCCCTGACTGGGAATCGAACCTGCGATGCTTTGGTTCGCAGCCCGCGCTCAATCCACTGAGCTATGCCAGCCAGGGTGCATCCTGTGTTTTTATTCACTACATCTTGCAAATACAGTCAGAGGTTTAGCAACCAGAGCAGAGCGTGAGGCATCCTCAGCCCACGGCATCTCCGGTTGATCTTTTCTTGGGGGGCGCTACCCCATCTTTCCCTCGCAGGTGAATTCACATCTTTCTGCACCCCTTGGTCTCACACACGAGGCTGGGGCTGAGTGGAGAGACTGCCGAGCCAGCCTCTGGCAGCGCGCGCTGAGAACTTCCCAAGTTCTCATGGCCCTCGCTGGATTCAGCTTCTCGGCTAGGTTGCAATGCTCTGGTCCAACCTCCTATTCTTCTTCAAGGTTTTGCTGCTGAAACAGAAGCCGAAACCCCAGACTATTCCTTCTTCCCATAAGCAGCCCCCACCAGCGCCCGCCTCTGACCCCTGCTCCCTTTGAACGTGTGTGGGTTTCCATGGTGGGGGGCGCCGGAGTCCTGTCTTCCCTCTCCAGGCCCCCGGAGCCCTGCTAGCGGTGACCTCTGGGCTCTCTGGCCTCTGCAGTTGACAGAGGTCATTTTCCCTGCCCACCGCCACCTTGGTGCCCCCAAACCCCCCCCTCGGACCTGCAGGCCATCGGCAAGACTGCAGAGTCTGCCTGTGGAATTTGATAGGAGCGTGTTGGGTTGTGTCCCAATGAGCTGGCACAGTCACGCTCTGAGGAGAGACCCAGCCCAGTAGCCTGAGCTGTCCCAGGTGCCTGGCACTTAGCCTGAAAGCCAGCTGGGTGATTTACTTTAAGGCTCAGACTCGACACGGCTCGTAGCTTTCTTCTGAGCCCCTGAAGTCACTTCCCCAGACTAGCTCTGGTGTCCACACAAGATGACTTATTCATTCGCAAGGGTGAATAATGCCTAAATATACCCCCGGGTTTGCCACAAAGCCCTGCTGGGGGCGGGGGTGGGGGGGGGGTTGGTGCATGACGCAGAGCCGCCTCACCCGCGGAGCTGGAGTGAAGCAGGCGCCCTGAGGGCCTTTGAGTGTCCTGATGCACACCTGAGGGTCCGGACCGAGCACCTCCAGGGCCCGGTGGCCAACACGATGCCCCAGGGTTTAGGTTAACAGGAGTCTCAGTTCTCTCCATGACTCTAGGACGAAGGCAGAGGAACCAAAAATATGTTCACCTTGTCCATTCGAGACGATGTTTTTTCTACCTTCACAATGGAAAACATACCGTGAAACTTTCACTTTATTAAGAAAATGTACCATCACAAGTAGATGTCAGTGTTTCCCTTACCGTGTGTGTGTGTGTGTGTGTGTGTGTAGAGAGAGAAATTTCAAGGAACTGGTGTGTGCGACGGTGGGCTTCGGCTGGGCAAGTCTGAGCCCGCGGAGGGGCTGGGAGCCCTCGGGCAGGAACGGGAGCTGCGGTGCCCAGGCGGGAATTCTGCTCCCCCAGGGAAGCCGCAGACCCGCCCCCCTCGCGGCCTGCAGCTGACTGCATGAGGGCCACCGCACGATCAAAAGGAATCGCTTTTACTTAAAGCCCAAGTCAGCTGATTGTCGGTGTTAAATCAATATCGCACCTTCAAAACACCTCCGCAGCAGCGCCCAGATTAGCATTTAGTCACTGAAGGAACACCGTGCACTCCAGCCTGGCCGGGCCGGCACGTGAACCAGACCATCGAACCGCCCGGTGCTCTCTGTCAGCGGGGGCGGGGTGTCGCTGGCACTACCGCTTCCCAGGCGAAGAAGCTGAGCCAGGCATGCAGGATGGGGAATCTGCCAGCCAATCCAAGGTCGCCGAGATGGAACAGGGGAACCTAGAGGGCTCTAAAGAGTAAGGCTCTGGACCAAACTCACAGAGGGCTCGGATCTCATCCAAGGGCACTGAGGCCAGGGCCGACCCTGGGCATCCAAAGGTCACCCGGGCTTCTACCTACCTCCCACGCCTCCTTCTCACCATCCCCCCGGTTCTGGGCAGGTCTCGCCCGCTTGACACTCCACAGGGGCTCCACAGCACCTGCGGGAGAAACCCGGCTCCTCTGCACACAGCGGGGGAGTGCTCATGACACGGCCCCAGCCCACCTCCCCGGCTTCCTCTGCCACTGAAGTCGGCCCCCGGACTTAGGCAGGGACCCGCGCACTGCAGCTCCGCCGCGTGTCCATACCTTTGCACGTGACTTTGGTTTCCCCTGAAAACTCTTCTGGCTTCAACCTCCTGAAACTCCTACTTTGCCCTCAAAATCCATCTTTAGCACCACCACCTGAGAAAGCTCCCAGACCCTCCCCACACTCCAAGCCTGTTCACCCCACCACAGCCCCCATTTAGGGGGGAGCAGACACCCCTCCGGGCCTCACCAGCACTTCCTGCGTTCCTCTGTCCTGTCTTCTCCGAGTATGATATAATTACACTTTCATATTTCCTAAGCTGGGACATTGAGAAACAAATTAGTGCTCTGTCTTTCTTTCTTGTGTGTGCATGTGTAAAGAAAAAACAGAAATGGGCGAACTGCAACCCACAGGGCAATGTGGCCCGTGGCCTACCTTTGCAAATAAAGTTTTATTGGAACACAGCTGTGCCCATTCATTGAAGTATTGTTCCTAGAGGCTCTCGTGTTGTAATGGCAGAGCTGAGTAATTGTGCAGGTGACCAGCAAAGCTTCGCATATTCTTGAGCCCTGTACAAGACCATAGATTCACCCATGAGAAGTTACTTTTCCTCCTGCCCCGTTGGGAATGTAGGCGTGCGCCTTAGTTCTGGAGCCCCCTGCACCTAGACGGTTAGCGACAGCTGTGGGGTTTGCAAGACCGCCCAGGAGGGACCTCCCCACCCCTGGCCTTCGTTAGGAGAGGGACACCCAGGAAGGGGCAAGGGCTTCATGGAGAAGACCCTGGAGGCAGGGTCTCCGATCGGGGGGCGCTCCCAAAGGTCCTTGAAGTCTATGCGAGCACGGTTGAGTGCCAGCTCGGTCCTCACTGACGTGTGGCCCTCGGTAAATCCAGGGAGAAGACTCCGCAGAATCAGAGGATCCCTCTCAAGGACTTTGAGATTCTCAGCAATCCAATGCGGGACCTAGAACGCACGACTCATTCATGATGTTTGAGGCTGTGGAAAGGGGACATCAGGCATTCACTCCCCGAGGAAAAGACCAGCCATGGAGGATCAAGGGAGAAAGGGACAAGCTCCTTCCCCCCTCTCATCTTCAGATCCCCAAGTCTCGAGGGGGGCCCCCAGTCCTAAAACTGTCTCCGTCTTTGTAGCCAGAGGACCTGCAAGCAGATCGACGCCCTGCAGGAACCCACAGACCCTTAGCGACAGAAACTGAGGTCCAGACAGAGAGCCATTCAGATGTCATCTCCCCACTGAGAGGTGCTCTGCTTCCCAGATCAGTAAATAATCCAGTGATTTCAAATCAGAACAAGAGCTCGGGGGAAATTGTCACTTGGATGCTAGCCAATGGGAGTGGAACAGGCCACCATGTCTCTGAAGACCTCGTTGTGGGACAGAGCCCCGCCCTGCAGGCAGGTCTTAGAAAGAGAGTTCAGCCACCCAAGGGCTGCAACCTTGGTCTCCCCATTGAGAGATGGTCCATGTCCGCTTGGTCTGCCTTTTCTAGCTGGGCAACTGGCATGAAATACTTGTATCCCATGGTGAAGATCCCATTCATCTCAGATACGCACTTCCCTGGGAGGCGGCAGAGCCCCCATCCTCCAGCCAACCCAGGAGAATTTCCCCAGGATTTCAGATTATCCGCAGGGCCATGTGGTGACTCATCACCTTGACGCCATGTGCTCTGAAGGTCCGCCCAAGGGAACGTGGCAGAATCGCGTACTGCTCAAGAGGACAAACGGTCCATCTTCCCCCTCCCCAGGGGAAAGCAGGAACTACAATCGTTTTCCAAGACATTCGTACTGGAGATGTGACAGGCGACCCAGAGAGACTTCTCATCAAAGGGACTGAAGACAAGGGTGAATGTCTTCGAAGACATTTCCAACGTGATTGGCATCGCAGCTGCAAACAGGACTGCCTGCTATTCAAGAACTTTCTCATTGCCTGGGCTGATCCCTTCCCTTGCTTCCAGTCATTTTATCATTATTGCTGGGTTGTGGTTTGTTGTTTGTTTGTTTTTAGAAATCATCTCAGTGGGTTTTCGACAGTTGTCATGGTGAGCTGGCACCACAGAGACTTCCTGGGGAAAAGTTATTTCAAAGGCTCATGTCCTCAACATACACAAACACACACACACACACACACACACACACACATGAGATTTTGCAGGAAGGAAAAAAGGAACTCTGAAAACAAAAATATTGTGATAAGATCTATAAATTTGTTTCCTTCTCTGGCACCCACTTGGATCCTCACCATCTGCCATCACCTACAAATTATTGGCTTTGACTACAATGTTATGACTCCGCGTGACAGCCAATGCAAAACTCCAACACATTAACAAAGCGTAATCACCACAACTGATGCGTGATTGAGAAGAGCTGGAAATGCACGCTCCAGCGGGCGATGAAAGGCGCCAGGGAGCACGTCTCCGCGCAAGCGTTTGGAAGCGTCTCTACGTCGAGCCTGCTTGTCGGCTCAAAGGCACTGGCTGATCGCCCATACCAAGACACATTGCACAACTTGGAAGCAATTCTCGCGAGGACAGCTGCTGAGCAATCTGTAAAGTCACTCAGCGAGCACATGCGAGTTCTCTACCTATGGCGTGGAAGCAAAGCGTTCTACTTCTGTCCCAAACGTGTGCGTGTATAAGGCCTTAAACACTGTCTCTTTCAACCATAAGGACCGGATACAGGGTCTGACATAAATAAAGCCCCATTTTTTTAAAGATTTTATTTATTTATTTTTAGAGAGGGAAGGGAGGGAGAAAGAGAGAGAGAGAGAAACATCAATGTGCGGTTGCTGAGGGCCGTGGCCTGCAACCCAGGCATGTGCCCTGACTGGGAATCGAACCTGCGACACTTTGGTTCGCAGCCCGCGCTCAATCCACTGAGCTACGCCAGCCAGGAATAAAGCCCCATTTTTATTACAAAATCTTTTCTTACAAAATCATAAGCATGTCATTCTGTAACGTAACAATATCACACTCAAAGCACACCCTGTGACATTTGAGATGAGATGCTCGAATTTAAACTATAAATTATTACACCCCACCAGCCGCACCCAAGCAGGCCTCACTCCTGCCGCACCCGGTGTACATGTGGAGTCGGGTGAAAAGTGTGTGGTACATGCAACGGTGCGGTGAACCAAAGAGCCCGGTGAGGCCACGCTGCAGAAGGAAATGTGCCGTGTGCCCCAAGGCTCGGCCATCTAAATCACTGCACTCCCCACGCAAGAAGTATGAGCAAGACAGTGCCTAACCCTAAAAGCCGTCTTTCAAATGTGATGGGCCTTTGAGAAAAGACATCTAGAAGACAAGAGATCAAGATTTTAAAAACCCAGCAATCGTGCTCGTGCAGCAAGCATCCCTCCTTGGGCCATGCTGATGTTGGTGGGAGAGAGCTGACCTTTCCGGTCTCCTGTTTCCGCCCGTCCTCCCCTCCCGGAGGCACAAGGGCCAGGGTGGGCGACATGCTCGTGGGAGGCCCTCACTTCCTCTAACTGCCCTCTCCTCCCCGGCCGCGCACGCCTATTGCACAATCTCGCTTTTAATTTCTTTTTCACTTTTTTTCCTCTCCCCTCCCCCTTAGATGCTACTTGAACATTTTTCCTTTTTGGTATTCCTTTAGAAATGGAGAACATTCAGTGTTTAAGTCTCATCTGTAATTTTTTCCTCTTCATTAAATTCCAATTTCCACTGGAACACCATAAAGGAGAAGCAATAAGGGGAGGAAACGAATATTTAGAAGAGAGTCAGGGGAGCAGGGGAGCTGCTATCTCAGCAGCTAAAATGTAGCCAGGAAAATCATCTTCAGCAAGCTTACCAGAGCTACCGTATCTTGCCGTGTATAATGCGCACCCACGTTTTGTGTGCATTATACACGGGATTATTGTACCCATTGCTATACCCGTGGTATATAATCCTTACACCCATGTATAGTGTGCATCCTTATTTTTTTCTCTCAAAAATTTTTGGGCAAAAAGTGAGCATTATACATGGCAAAAATATGATAAATCACATTAATGCAAGGTTATGTGGGAAGTCACAGATATCCTGCACAGGAAAGAAAAATCATTTTCTTCAGCTGGGAGGGTTTGGTTTCCTTGAGCCCCAGGGCACCTGCATGCTAATTTTAAACTCTCCGGTTCACACCTGTCCCACGCCCTTCCGTACACGTTGAAGACTCAGTAACAGGAGGGATGAGCCGAACGTTCTCTTCTGCCTCCTTCCAGCCTAGCCTGGACACATCTTCAGAGACCCCCAACCCCCAGCCCATGACCGCCCACTAAACACTCCTTCCCGCTCTGTGCTCATCCTACAAACGAAACTTTGCAGGAGTTCGGGCTTCTGCGGGCAGCCGGGGCCCATTCTCACTCAGAGGGAGGCTCCCCAGTGGGCCTCTCCATAGACCTTGCCACGGGTACTGGGTTCTTACTGCTGCTAGAACTAATGGCCACACACAGAGGGGCTTGAAACAACACACACCTAGTATCTTACAGTTCTGGAGGTCAGACACCCGGCGTGCGTGGTACCAAAGTGGAGGTCTCTGCAGGGCTGGCTCCTCGTGGAAGCTCTAGGAGACACTCTGCTCCGTTGTCCCCTCCAGCTTTCTGGCGGCAGCCCGCATGTCCTGGCTCCTTCCTCCGTCTGCAAAGCCGGCAGCAACAGAATCAAGTCAACGTGAGTGGGTACGTGGAGGAACAGTTTGGGGGTAAGAGGTGTTTTCATGCATGTCACAGTTTCCGCTGGGATGGAGAGTTTTGAGTAGCCCTGGGTGTCTGGTCTGAGCAACTGAGACATGCCCGTCACTAAGACAGGGGACAGAAGGGGAGATGGGGGTCTGATGAGAGCAAGTCATATAGTGACTGGCCCGTTTGCTATGCAGATGAATACTTACGTAAGAGAGCATTTATTATGAATACTAATGAGTGCATAATAAATGAACATTTGCTATTCATTGACCCATTCATTCATTCATTCATTCATAAGTATCACCTGGGGCTACCGTGCACCAGGCAGTGTGCCCTGGGCCCTGCGTGGACAGCGGCAAACAAGCTAGGTAGCCCCTGGGACCCTCACGTCTCATGTCCTCCGCCAGCCTCTGTGCCCCGGGCAGGCCGACCTGTCAGCCTGCACGCGGTGAAATCTAGGCCCATTCACGGTTCTTCACCGTGTTTTGTTGAAAGTGTATGTCTTACGATCTTTACACAGAAATTTTAAATCTAACCTAAAAAGCCTGATACAAGGCTGAGAAAAGCTTTATTAAGAAGACACTAATTTCAAAAGCCTTCTCGCTAAGTCCAAAAGCAACAGAATCCCAACGAAATGAAATAGATGCTTCCTCTAAGCCGGAGCCAGTGAAAGGCTCAGGGTTCCCTATGGGCTGGTTCCTCTGCTGCTTCCATGCACGGCCGGGCCAGCTTCCCAGTGTCCCTGGCAGACAGGTGGGCATGTGACTGTTCTGGCCAATGGGACGTGGGCAGAAGGAGCTTATGCCACCTCCTTGTCTGGCCCACGAAGATCTCCACACACCGTCTTCCCGCACCCGCTGGCTGAGCGGAGGGGATACCAAAGCTCTAGAGAATGGCACCGTCACAGGCAGAAGGAGCCCGGGCCCCGGAGGGACACTGTGGAACGGACCTGCTCCCTCCAAATGCCCACCACCAGCTGGACTTGATGTGAGTAAGGAATAAATTCCATTGTATTATACCACCAAAATATTGAGGATGTTTGTTGTGGAGGTTAGCCCATAGGGACTAATTCAAACTATTTCTGTACATGGATCTTAGGATATATATTGTCTCTCTCTCTCACATACACACAGACGTGCACAAACAATCCTCTCACTACACCCCTTGAATGTTCTAGAACATTGTCTTTTCCCTTCCGTTTGTGAAGCTGTGTGTGCAGCCTCTCCCGGCAGGAGCCACGGAGCTAAGTCACCGGGCGGCTGTCCCCTTGGGGAAGAAACCACCTGCAGGGTGACCCTCGCTGGCATGCTGCCGGCTTGGTCATGCCGTGACGCCCTCCGGGACTCCGGTTCTCCCTCTGGCACGCTGCAGCCCGCAGAGCCGCTGAGAGACACGGATGACAACCAACCACGAGGGGGCATTTACGAAGCCTGGCTCCTCCCCTTCCCGGGCGCCTTCGGCCCTCTGCTGGCACTCTGCCCGTCCGGCGCCCACAGAGCAGACTGGAGCCAGCCCACACCAACCGTGCAGGTGGTCACTGGGATCCAAGCCCAGAACCTGTTGTTGACCCCATCTGCACAGCTGTCCCCAGTACACAGTGGCCTTGTGCACTGCCCAGGCCCAGGGCCACCCCGTCAGCAGCGGCCACTTCCCGTCTCACTCAACACGGCACAGCCACCCGCCCTGCAGTCCCTGATTCCACATCCGACCAAGAAGGTTTAAGAACCTTTGATATGGCTCTGGCTGCTGTGGCTCGGTGGATTGAGTGCCAGCCTGCAAAGCAAAGGGTCCCCGGTTCGATTCCCAGTCAGGGCACATGCCCGGGTTGCAGGCCAGGTCCCCAGGAGGGGGTGCACAAGAGGCAACCACACATGGATGGTTCTCTCCCTCTCTTTCTCCCTCCCTTCTCCCCTAAAATTAAATAAATAAAATCTTTAAAAACAAAACTTTTTAAAAAAATTATTTTAAAAAAAGAAACTTTGATAGGTTTGTGCAACCGTTTGGCTTTCCAGCCTGGGAAGCCTGTAGTCACAGTGCGCAGCAGAAACCCTGCCCACGAGGTGAACTTAAGTACGACTTGCTTGTAAGTGGCCAAAATCAACAGCCCGCGGAGTGCCCATACAGGAGGGAGTGTCACTGAGTCATAGATGCATCTTCCCGCCCATCTGCGGACAGTTGTGTGGGTCAGACAGCAGAGGCTGAGGAGCCCTGTGGGGAAGCCGATTGGGTACACACTGCCCCTTGCACCCTAGAATGTGGGCAGGAGACGCAGGGACTGCCCAAGAGCAGCTGGCTGCAAGTGCGAGCATTGCTCAGGGCCCCCACACACGGCCCCTTATTGGACCTGCTGGGCCATGTTTCTGCCTGCCCCTCGCATGAGCAGACTGTCCCCAGCTCCACGGTTGGCCCACAGGTGTCTGTGCTGGCAGGGCTGCGGTCATTGAGGTGGCACCTGGCAAGCAGCAGTGGCAGGACACTCGCCACGTGGGCAGTGTCTGCACTGCTCACCACTGTGGTCACATAGCTCCACACAGAGACGGACCTCACCTTCCTCATGATCCTGAGCCCCAGGACAATGCGGTCCCCGTTCGAGAACCTCCAAGAAATTTGTACCTCCTGGCACAGTGCCGGGCGGGCAGGACGGCGGTGATGAGTCCACAGCAAAGGCCTGCACTCGCCTTCCCCTGCCCAGGAAGCCCGCCTGGCCACAGCCTCCCCCTGAGAGACCTGTCACTGTGGCGGTTCCCTGTACCTGACTCCCCATGTCCCCACCCCGGCCACCCCAGTGCAGCCACAGAGGCTGGCAGGCACCTAGGAGATGACCTGGCATGACCCCTTGGACCACCAGTGACCTGGAAAAATGCTCACGGCACAATATGCAGGAGAAAACAGGAAGGAGAAAGTCGATCCAGTGTGACCCAGCTGTGCACATCAGCATGCTCCACCCCCAGATGCTTGCGTGGTGGGGTTATTCGGGCAAACCTCATTCCTCAACCTACAGCTTGCCAACTCTCTCAGTGGCCAGGTGGAACTTGGATAATTGGGGGGAAATGGGTATTTATTTTAATGTGTGAGAGCAGATGAACTATGAGCCATTTGGAATCACATTCTTGAGTCCCCAGGCATGTGCTCATGTGCTCAGGTCACCTTCTCCCAGGAAGTGGGGGGTGCCATCCCAGAGTGTATCTCAGCACTTAAAAGTCCCAGCTGGTCTGAGGTGCTGGGTGTGTCGCTGGGCTTTTAGCATGAAGCCCCATCTCATGGGACGAAGTATTTATCTGTGCTTCCGGAATCCCACTCAGGGTTGTCACAGGTATGAGCAAAGTCCAATCGCTTTACCTGTTTGTCTACCTGGGGGTTCCAGAAGGAGACACTATCCAGTAATCATTGTTCTAGAAACTTCTGTGCCAGGGATGGTTGGGCATCTGACCTGTTGTGTTTTGGTGAAAGATGTCGTCCGGAGAAGGCCACACACTCTCTCTACAAGGAGCCGGACGCGCAGTCCCAGAGGTGTGGGCGCGACCGCCTGGCCGCTGTTCTCCTGGGACAGCACCGCTCCCTCAGAGGCCCTGTGCTGGGCTTGCAGAGGGTGTGTGTGTGAAGGGATCCGTGGGCCAGGGCCCTCCGAGGAGCCTTCCTTTAAAATCCCATCGGAAGAATGCCGACATAGAGATCCGAGCTAGGCTCATGTTACCCACCAGGCTCGAAAGTTCCAGAAAGTTTCCAAATGTTACTACAGATATCATCATGACTTTCCCACTCCCATAAGTCACTGCTGTACTGGGAGGCTCTGGAGGAACATTTTCTCCATAATCTCCTGGATTTCTTCATGGTTTGGTTTGGTTTTGCTTTGTTTTTCATCTCTTCTTTCTCCGATTCTGCAAGGCAGGGCTGACCTAAAGAACCCCCCAAGCTTAAAAGCTATAATTCTTGGAAATATTCTCAAGGCTCATTTCCTGCCTTTTCTCTAGTTGAAAATTCACCCAACACATCCACCTGCTGCAACAGTCTAGTCAACCCACCCCGTCCCACTAGGGAGAAGAAGAAAAAGGGCTAATGGAAGCCACCAATTGTCCCTCACCCTGGTCACCACTCTCTTTGAACGTTATCACGATGGTCTTTGATGTCACATACCCCATTCCAGGGATCAGAGGCCCGTCCCCGTTAAAATGATCATTAGACTGTTTATCTTCATTTCCAATAAAAGCAACACACGTGATCAGAGACCCAGGCTGGCTCTTCGCCTGAGCCCGGGGTCCACTCAACATTTCTTTTCTAAGGGTGCCGTCCTCCTTCCCGTTCGGCCAACACTGCCTTTCTCGTCGGCCAATGTGTTTCAAATAGAAGGGTTGTTTGCGTTAGGCTTCAAGGCATGCAAACATTTGCTATAAGGCCCCAGAGGACTTCACAAACAATCCCACCCCTGACTTCCAAAGCTTGTGTAACACTTTGTACAAAATGCGTGGGCCGCTTGCATGAAGCAAGTGTTTCCAGAAATGTTTACTTTGCAGAAATGAGCGTGCATGTTGGCCACACTGCTTGAAAATGTCCATCTGTGCACACGGCCACTGGAATGGAGCGTAGACGCGCAGACGCACATGCACGCCTCTGTGGTGGGGCCTAGCTGCTGTCCACAGCCTGTCCTCTGCTGAGCTGCCTCTGCAGGACTCGGCACCTCTGGCTGTACCACGGTTGTCGCCCCTGTCACCAGACATGGATTATTCACAGGCCAGGTACAGACAGGTTCTCCAGCCTCAGAATGGAAGCATTCCAACCCAGTAGAAGAACAGAAAGACCCCAGACAGGCCTGGGACCATGTTATGGGTTGATTTATGCTCCCAGAAAAACACATAGGTTGAAGTCCTAACACCTGTGCTATAGCCTGAATATTCATGAGCCCCCCCAAAAATTCTACATGTTGAAATCTTAACCCCAATGTGATGGTATC